TACGTATTTTTTGACACACTATGGTTATGTGGTTGCTGAATATCCACCTCGGGGTGTATAAAGCCATTCCTTGACTTGACTTCATGTAAACAGTGGGCAATAACACAACGAAAAGATGAAAAAAGTAACTAAGTTATGTTATTATATCACAAATAACCCACGCTATTTTTCACACTACCTTAAAGGGCATACTACTGAGGCCCGTGTTTCGCAGCTCTTGCAATTTACCCACTTTTCTACTCATCGAGACGTGCAAGTTGGCGGTAGGTTAAGTGTTTTCAACCGAGTGAGATGATCACACTCCGCAAAATTGTTCACATTTGTTTGAGTCAAAAGGGGTTTTTACGAAATATTGTCTTCCGTAACCAACCGTATGCCCATTGTGAAGGTGTATGCGTCATCGCAAGTCAGAAATAAAATTGCCCATAGTCTGTTGTAATTCCAAGAACACCGGAACACCGAAAAACTGCCGACAAAACGAAATGTTTGTTGGAATCACCTGTTGTGAACATCAAGTCAGTTCACAATGTGACCTTACTTATTGGATTCACAACCGTCATCAGACACATCCTAAGTGAAATGCGGGTGATTGAATTCAATATTCAGATCACACATCTAACAAGGATCATGTCTGAAGAAGAAGAACGGACTGATCAATTCGAAGCTACATTCCAGTTTATTTATTGTCTCCAGGGTGGTGCTTGACTTACTTATGATGGCAAATACATATGCTGAATCGATTTGACTAGCAGAGTAAACCGAATTTTTTTTGGTGAATGACTCAGTGAAATGTGCAAAAAATAAACCAATTTCCTTCACTTCGAAGGCGGCCGTTTTTTTCGTGCACTGAATTTCCATCAAACTGAATGATCAATGAGGATTTTTTAACTCCGTCAATGGACTTAGTTTTGAATTGCCGTGTCTGGGTAACTGCAGTTTGTGACGTTCATGAAACCTTTTGATTCGCCTCTAGGAAATAGCCGAAATAGAATAAGGTTAGGCGCTTCACATCATCCATTATGTGATAGGATAACTGATCGTGAAAAGTTAAATCTGCCGGCCAAAATCTTATTCTTGAATTTCGTAATGACCGATTAAACGCCTTAGCCACAATATGCTTGTGCTTTCTCTTGACTTGCACAATTTTTATCGCTATGCACCAGTGGAAATAGTGCATTAACAAGCAGACTTTTTAAAGTGCTTTTTCAGAATTTGTGCGACTCCTTCATTCTTGTTGAAAATTCGACACTAATACTTTCTGAAAAGAATGCAATAATTGTACGGTGCTTGCGGTTTGTATGATCAGGAGCTTTCGAAACATCCGATTTTCTATTCGATAGATACAGAACAGTTTTGGGTAAGCTCAATAGCTAAAACGAAACTTCGTTGTGTTTTCGTTTCTGCGAGCATCTACAATTCATGCTCCGAACTTAGACAATACGCTGGACCATGAACACGGACTCTAACATGCAACAAGCGTTCAAGTTCGATGGGATTCAGTCTGTAACCTTCTCGCGCAAGTATTTTTTCATTTCCTTTTCATGTGATTGACGGAAAAGCCTGTTCCGCTTTTGCACGTCACCCTAAGCAGTTGCGAGAAGGTAGTCACAAACTGTTAGGTCCCTATGGTACTTCAGTTATGAATTATGCGATAGTACAATCTGAACTCAGTTAACCCACATCTATATCTTTTTTCGTTACAGGTATTTTTGAATGTCATCATAGGCAGTCTGTTCCTTGGTGGGGCTCTTCCAAATTTCAGATATTTCTTCGCGGCCAAGACATCTGCGCAGGACGTCTTCGAAGTCATAGAACGCGTGAGTATTGTGTCGCTTTTTCTTAATAACTCATTTTCACAGAAACTTTACTCTTTTTAGCATTTAATTTCTGTACCAGAAACATTCGCTTCTCGTGCATTGCTTCTCTCTCCAACATTCTGCTTGCTTCAGGTGTGTGCAGCTTAGCATCATCGTAAAAATATTCATTTGCATGAATCCTTTTGAAGCATGCAATGCCCGGGAGTATCGGACACATTTGAACCAGTTTTCTTATCTGGACTAGTTTCGTCGTGCTCTGTCGTACACATGCATGAATTTAATTCGGAAACCAGTATTTCTTAAACTGCCGGAATAGGCTTCCCGAATCCCATCATGTATGTGTGTGTGTAATCACCCTACTGGGACCCGATGGTTGGCGAATATCAATTGTTACTAACTACAGGGCCTAGAACTGAAACCATTGATGTGAATGTGACAAACTTCTCCCGTGAATGCGCGTGTTCCGCGCCTCACGAAAGATAACCTGATTAAAATGCTTATGATGTAAAACAATAACAATAAACCCAGTTTTTGTTGGCATCGTGTTGAGCCTTGCCTCTTTGGGATATATATATTGAATTATATAGTATCGGATACGCTTTGCATTAGGATCACATTTCCAAATCGTTTTCGGGTAGACGTTCCATCGTTTTCGCAATCTGCTTCTCGCGGAATGGACTATCATCTTTTTTGACGAAGACACAACACCCCATTCATCAGTGTGCGCGCACATGGACACCTTGAGTAATCGGTTCACATCACTCGAAGCACTTATTGAAAATCTTTTTTTTTTTTTACAGTGGACTGCTGCACGTATCTCCAAGCGACGTGTGTGAGAAACATATGCTGAAATCTTGTAGTCATTCTTTACACTTCGAAGATATAGTTGTGATACGAACTGACCTTGAATGTTCTACAATTTTTTTTCCTTACAACCTTTGTATTTCGGTGTGATGTTC